AGAGAGAGGGAAAGTGAGAAAGCAAGCTACCAGGTCTAGGACTTGAACCATAGTCGTCCATGTGGGAGTCCAGCGTCTTTAACCACCACACCACCTGCCAGCCCCCTGGCTCACTCTTTTTAAACAATCTGCCTGATGACGGAGGCTGCTGTGACATGCTGCTTCACTGTCACACTGCTGTACCCCAGAGTGTGGGCCAGGGTCTCGCCTTACAGTACCTGCCTGGGGGACTTGGGTCTGGCCCAGCTCTCCCAGCAGGTTCCATTACCCTTCCCTTTGCCCTCTGCCACTGGGGTGCCAGGCTGCCTCCAGGGTTGTGCTACAAGGCAGATTGATCTCTCCAGACCCACCCCTTCCTGCCTCCTAACCAGAGCTTTTGCACGGCAGGCGAGGTGATCAAGCACGGGGACCTCAAGTGCGTGCGCAATGAAGGGATGCCGATCTACAAAGCACCCCTGGAGAAGGGCACCCTGGTCATCCAGTTCTTAGTAAGTGGGCGGAGTCTCCCTCTCACAGACTGGCCTCTAAATGCCCCGATGGAAGGGCAGTGACCAACACCCCCTCCTTCTCCTTGCCCCTTACAGGTCGTCTTCCCTGAAAAACACTGGCTTTCTCAAGAGAAGCTTCCTCAGCTGGAAGCCTTACTCCCTCCCCGACAGAAGGTGAGGATCACAGACGACATGGACCAGGTGGAGCTGACGGAGTTCAACCCCAGTGAGCAGAACTGGCGCCAGCACAGAGAGGCCTATGAGGAGGACGATGACGGGCCCCGGGCCGGGGTGCAGTGCCAGACAGCCTGACGTGGCACGGTGCGGCCCAGCCGCTGGACTCGCACACGATGAATGTAACGTTGGCACAATGAAATGGCATCGCTTTAATGGCCTCGTGTTTGGGGTGTCCTGTCTCTGTGTTCAGCATCTCTCAACTGCTGAGTGTCGTCTTGGCTTTCCTTTTGTTTTCCTTTTGGTTGTAAATTAAGTTATAGCTTAACTTCTATTTAAATGTTTTACGTGTAAATCACCTCTAGTCTGCATATGGAATCTGTTCGTTTACATTTCCAGGATATACTTTTGAGACGCCCGGTGACCACACTGACATTTTGTGCTTCTAGTGGCTTTGCTGGTGTGCGGGTCCACCAGGAGACCGGCCCAGGTAGCAGCACTAGGGCCTGGCCGGCCCGAGGTGCAGAGTCGGCGTCCTGGCCCATCTCGAGAAACAATCTCTGTGGTTTCTGTCTCCGCTC